CTGGGAAAATTATTCACTCAGTAAGTATAATGCACACAGATTTTGTTAAATGTGTCTTATTTCAACTTCTACTTTTGAAAGCTTCTTGTGTACAGTAACCATTTGAGGGACAAGGGGGGTGCTAACCATTCTATTGGGTTGCTGAAAAAGTTATGACTTATTTTTTCTGTTTTTCGTTGCAAAAACACGTCATGCCTTTTCCGACAACCCAATATTACAACAGTGGCAGGCAGTACGGTGGCCTACCCTCTAGCTATCCCCAAACTTCACACTTGCTAACAGAATCGTGACAATTCCTATCAAGGAGCACTTGTGTTCTGAAGTGCCCTCCAGAGTCCTGGGGTACACATGTTGACTAATCTAAGTGGTCCTGAAGGTGAGGACCTGGCGCAGCAGCATCAGAATGACCTAGGGACGTGTTGGAAATTATATTCTTGGGCCTCACTCCCAGCCCACTGAATCAGAAACTAAGGGGTGGGACCAGCAATCTGTATTTTATCAAACTCCCCAGATGACTCTGATGCTCAAGTTTGAAAGCCCTTGGCCTAAACCAATCACAGCATTTCTGTTCCCTCTGCCAACTCCAGGATTAGGCTGGGTAACTGTCTGTTACCAATGAGCCTGACAGGAAGTCTCCTGGGAAGCTTCCAGAATGCTTTACTCAATCACATACAAAGAATCAGAGGAAATATACCCACCTCTCCTATTTTTTATTCAGACATTGTCATGTCTTCATGTGATACCTGAACTGTAGCAGCAACCTTGTAACCAGTAGGTGATAAAGCCAAACACCAATCCAGTAGCCAAGGGTGATGGCAGGGAAAGATTGAAAGAACCTGGGTTGTGGTGATCGAGACGAGCTGCTGGATTAACCCCAGAAACACCCCATCTCCAGATTCTTTGTTAAATAATATGGTTTTAGGGTGGGGGGTTGTTACTTTGTGAGGGTGAAAAGGGTAACTATTGCATTGTTCTGTACACCTGAAACTAACAATAAATAAATAAATTAAAAAATAATAATAATAATAATAATAATATGGTTTTAAACCCTATATGTATAAACTATTTTTAGTTGGCCTTCTATTAACTTGCAATCCTGACTGTAACATGCTTCTTTTTCCAAGGCAGGCCCCAAATAGTATAAACAACATAATCGCACTTTCATAATATTACATAATTTTATATTTACTACATATAATTATCTATTATAATATTCTGCAATATTTTATTCTATTTTATATTTTAATTTGAAGCTTTTTGAAAAGGAGGAATTTATAACTTTATTAAGTGAAAATACAGAGAACATTTAGAGTGATGCTATTGAAATTATATTCTGGTTTTGTTTCTACTAACTAGCTTGTGGGAACAAATTACTGAAGAGATTTAGGTTTCAATTTTCTAACCGACAGAAGAAAAGAGCCAGATTAGGTCATTATTATGATCGTGTCCAATTTAAAGAACTATACTCTTAATTTAATCTTTATGAGACCCTGAAAGGCTTCTGTGACAAAAGTGCATCTTCCAGTAAAGGTCCTAGGAATAAGGATTTTTATGCAGCAATAAGACTTGTTAACTATATGTATTCAGGTATGCAACTGAATACTGACAAACATTTGCAGAAAAGGATGGCACAGTAGTGCTGCCCGGCTGGAAGCTCAGCGCTTGGCACTAGCTCCTGCTATTTCCCAATTATTTATACGAGGAGAAGGATGGTGCTCCGCGGGTAAACACTCTTAATCCGAGACCTCAAATCCACTTGCTGATTTATCTTCCTCCCCATGCAAAAGTCAAAAACTACAAAATGCAAAACAACCGACTGGTATTTCTACCTTCCACTGGAACTGTGGTTAAACTCACGTACGACAAAGGGAGAGATGGGATAAGACAGACAGCAGATTGTGAAATCGCAGAGACAATTTAGAAAACCATCAACCACCGAGAATCGAAAGTGTTTTATAATTATTTTTGGAAAGAAAAAGATGTCCTCATACTTACTGCAACTAACATTAAAGGTACATAAAAATCCATTATTAGGTGAATTAACAGGTACAGAGTATTGTGTGTGTAATATATATAGTTCAAGGCCTGTTTCCTCTTTAAAGCATTAGGTGTCAGAAGGCTTCATAATGGAAAAAAAGGTAGTCACGACTTCCTCTAATCAGAGGGTATCTCCTGGAATGAAAATGCCACCGCATTCTTATTAAAACAAGGGCTATCAAACACCTAGTAACACCTGTGCCAGCACAACCATAAAAGGCTGACAACTAAATGTCAAAACACTACGGAGCTTTTTCTGTAAATGAAACAGAAATACCAATACAGGCAAAATCCTTCTATAATAAACTTGCAATATAACCACACTCATTCATTATTACTTAACTTCGTTTTCTTTAATCAATATAATTGTAAAGCCATATGCCCAAGCTGCAGAACTCGGATGCAAAAGACATGATGCACAACCCACGTGGAGTGAACTTATTTCTTCCTGCCAGGCTCCTCTTCAAAAAAGGATTTGAGGCTGAAATGGGTGAATGGGCAGGGCAAACTCAACTCGCCGGATGGGGAAGAAGGGGCCTACATGCACAGTATTTTCATCCCTGTTCACCTGCTTAGTTTCCAGATTTTGTGATACGCTTTATTTTAGAGGTCAGTCTAAAGCTTGTTTTAACTGTGATACCTGGTTTGTTTAAGATGGCGTAGGAAAGAAATCTAGAAGAGTAACTGCTATTGGATAACGGAAGGAAAGAGGCATAAAGCCATCCCTACAGCTTAACAGTGCAGTTCTCTGCCTACAATGAGGACAGCAGAGTCCTTTAGCGGTAAGAGTAGCTGGCAAAGGAAGGAAAACAGCAATTCCACTTCTAGAAATTTATCCTAAGGAAAAATTAGGAAAGTGCAGAGATTTAGCTCATGGAGATCCACTGCAGAACTGTACATAAGAATAGAGGACCATATACAAGACATGAAACAATAAACTGTATAAAAGAAAGCATAGGTACTAAACTTAAGGACCTTGGTCTTCAAGAGGATTTTATGAACTTGACCTCAAAGGCAAGGGAAGTAAAAGCAAAAATAAATGAATGGCACTACATCAAACTAAAAAGCTTCTGCACAGCAAAAGAAACCAACCTAAAGAGAGAAGATATTTGCAAACAACGCCTCCAATAAGAGGTTCATATCCAAGATATATAAGGAACTCATACAACCCAAAAACAAAAACCCAAATAATCCAATTAAAAATGGGCAGAAGACCTGAACAGACATACAAATGACCAACAGATATATGAAAAAATGTTCAACTTTACTAGCTATTAGGGAAATGCAAATCAAAAACACAATGAGATACCACCTCATACCTATTAGAATGGCTATCATCAATAAGACAAGTAATAACAAGTGTTAGAGAGGCTGTGGAGAAAAAGGAACCCTCATACACTGTTGGTGGTAATGTAAATTGGTACAGCCACTCTGGAAAACAGTATGGAGGTTCCTCAAAAACACTAAGAATAGAATTACCATATGACCCAGCAATCCCTCTTCTGGGTATCTACCCAAAACACCTGAAAAACATTTATCCGTAAAGATAACCCTATGTTCACTGCAGCTTTATTCATGGTGGCCAAGACATAAAAACAATCGAAGTGTCCTTCGATAGATAACTAGACAAAGAAGATGTGGTACATATATACAATGTAATATTACTCAGCCATAAGAAAAGATGAAATAGTGCCATTTGCGACAACATGGATGGATCTTGAGATTATCATGCTAAGTGAAGTCAGACAGAAAAAGTCGAGAACCATGTTATTTCACTCATATGAGATATAAAACTGAAAGCAACAAACAAGCAAGCAAAAACTCATAGACACAGACAACAGTTCAGTGGTTACTAGAGGGAAGGGAGGGAGGGAGTGGTAGAAGAGTGTAAAGGGCATCATATATATGGTGACAGAAGGAGATCTAACTGAGTTGTGAACACACAATGCAACATATAGATGATGTATTATAGAACTGTATACTTGAAATCTATATAATTTTATTAACCAATGTCACCCCAGTAAATTTAATTCTAAAAAAAGAACAGAGGACTGGTGAAACAAATTATGCTATAGCTATCCAGTGGTATACTATTAAGGTAACTTAAAATAGTGATGCATTTAAGTATGTAATAATACATAAAGATGTTTGCTATATATTGGTAAGAGTAGAAATAGCCTACTAAGTAATATGAACTATATGTTCTCGTTTTTGTTTTAAAAAATTTGAATTTTGTCAGAGATAGGTATGTCTATGTTATATCTATGCGTAGGTAAAATTCTGGAAGTACATAAAACCAACTCTGGTAAGACCATGGGTGCTTTTACATTTCCTGTTTTTATTTAGCTACAGTTCTTAATTTTGTTTTTCTATGATAAGCATATACTGGTTTTATAATAGTAAGAAAATTACCAAAATATTTAATGGGCAGATATATGGAAAGCCCTTGATATTTAGAGATACTCATTGTATATCATTTACTGTGAAAAAAAAAGAAAAGGTTTGTGCTTTAATAGGCCATTTGAGAATATGAAATAGACTTGTTACATAAAACAGTTGTTTATGATAGTTCTAGAACAGGGGTCAGCAAACTTTTGAGACGCAAGAGCCACCAGGGATCAGTAAACTGCGGCTCACAAACTGTGGCTCTGAAATAAATTGAAAATGAAAATAAAACTATCATAATTTCATTTATAAAATTTTTACAGGATATTAGTCACATAATGGTGATTATGTAAAAATATATTTATGGCTATCGAATAATTTTTAAATTGTTGTGAGGGACAGGGTTGGCTCTTCCAGGGGTCGGCAAACTTTTGAGACGGAATGTACCCAAAGAGCCACATGTGGCTCGCGAGCCGCAGTTTGCCAACCCCTGTTCTAGAACTAATGGAATTTCCTCTGTAGAAAAACTCTCCCAAGTACAGAAACTTATGACGTGGGCGAAAAGGAGACATACTTACGGCTGGGTGAAGTCTCGAGTGATGAAATCAGAACTCTTGAAGAGTAGAAAGATGTCACTGAGGGTTTTACATTTCAGAGAACTATTCATTGCTATCCAGTACGCATCCTAAATAGTAAAACACAAGCTACTTAGTATATAGTCCAAGTTAGGTGCCATGAATGAAGCTTGGGCCTATATGCAAAATCAATAATGCATATTACTTCAAGGGTTTAAAGAAACAAATCAGGTAAGAATTTTGGCTATACTGTCAAATGTCAAACTACACTTTGAAACAATGAATAGCATCAGCATTGCATGCTGACACTCACTTATGAACACTGAGATGTTAAGGGCCTCACCTTTCAACTCAGGCCAAAAACTGCCCTATGTTTTGCTTACTGATGATGAAAGCAGGGGCTCAACAGGTATCAGAAATGCTGATACTACAGCTACAAGATGGAGGTGTAAAGAAATAGCCTGACCAGCTACACTTTAAGAAAAAGGAGATCCTTTCCCTTCTTCCTGTTTCTGGGGAGTGACGGATGGGACACCTGAGTATGGTGACTGGAGCAGTTAGGACCCATGTCTAATCAAATCTGGGAGAGGATTTTAAATGGTAATTTTAGATGGTAAATGTTTCATACATATGAACCAAAAAAAAAGTAAGACTAGCAGGGAAAGGAGGCACAAAGCTCATTGGATCGTGCCTAACAGTAATAAAATAAATCATTTAAAAAATATACTTCTCCCATAGATAGTTCTGCCATAGAACAGTAATATAGTTTTGAAAAAAACTATGACTGTTAAAAAAAAAAAAAAGCAAAAAATTATCCAACTATCTGTATTACATGAAAGAAAGCACTGGCACATAGTAGGTACTCAATAAATAAAAAATAAATGAACAAATGAATAACTTAAAATCACAAATAATCTACCCATCTTAAGTGGAAAGCCTCAACCCAGTTCAGTAGTAAGGATCAATTCAAATTACTTCTTGTATATAAACTAAAAATGAGCTTCGACAGCTTCTTTATTGTAACTCCTTTATAATTTCTCCCAATGACAAAGATGGTGAACTTCTGGTTAAAGATGATATACTGAATACACAGATTTAACTCCAGTGAAACAGTATATACACAGAAAGCCAAGCAACTGAACAAATGAGACAATTATTAACTTCAGGAAAAACTCATAGTTGAATAAGAAAATGTAAGTAACCATAGTATCGTAGTACATATCAGATGTGTACATAGTGTTAGCATAATCATGAGTATCAGAAACACTGAATATTCATAGAATCAAAAGTATGATATTATTATAATCAGGGTAGAATAAACAGTAGTGAGGACAGGAGATGCAAGAGAGCTGAATCTTTCAGTTCTAGAGTAAGAAGTCAGTAATAAATACCTAAAAATGAAGACTACCAAGAGAATGTACTAAAATATTTGAAAGCCTCTGAAGAGTGGGAAATGATGAAGTAAAACATTGTCAGGATCTGCTGATTTTTGTAGCAAGTTTCCAGATCATTTGAAATTTGAACTATGTACATGTGTAACTAATTTTAATAAGTAAAAATAAAAATTAGATTAAGTACAATTTGTCATTCATTTTAGAACAAGAAATGATAAGCACGAGATGATTTCTGAAAATGCAAATAAGTTTTTGATTCTTTCAATGAGCTTTGCTGACAAAATTGTTTTCTATTGGATTAGAAAAAATAGTGCATTTTTCCAGACCTTAACTTTAAAAAAACTTGCCCATGCTATGTTAAAATAAAACACAATTTGAGAAAGTATCAGTTCATCTCTCAAATTGCTCAGTTTCTAGATCCTACGACATTTTAAGTTTTATTACTTTTCAATAGAGAAAAGTTTCTCTGTTAAACTAAACAGCTGAAGTATACAAAGGGACAAAGTATGGATTTCCTCGGCTTTCTAGCACGATCAGCACCAAAGAGGTTGAAACTGTCTTTTGGCAAAATTTATGGTATTTTACAGAGCCAGGAAAGTGTACTGCAAAATCTGAAAATAAAATAACAGGAAGAAAATAAAAATAAATTTCACAGTATTTTCCCTAGAATTAGGAATATAATTAGACCTTCTATGAGAATATAAAATGTAATGAACAGCAAAGCAATGAATATTCAAACAATGAGAGATTTACTGATGTGTCCTACCCTTGGGGCACTCCAGTTAAGCTTAGGAAACACACTGCCCCCCAGGGAATTGATAGCTTCTTGGACTTTAGTGGCGAACTCGGGAAATTCTGGTGCCTACAGAGAGAAAGAAGAAATTATTTGGGCAAGTCGATATCATCACAATATAGAAGTCAAGATCAAAATCTCAAGGTTCCCACTATTGTGGGAAAAAGTGGCCTAATGTCACTTTCCAAAACAATTAAAACCCATAAAGCTAAAGAGACAGATGTCAGGAGGCATCTGGGGATGTGGGGAAGGAATAAGTATTTATTTATTAAGTGAAAAGAGATAGATGGAATGTCACCTGTACATATACTCCAACTCTCAGAAATAAAGATCTTGGACATATCCCAAAAAATTATGTAGTTAACTGTATTTAAACCCTGCTACTTCCAGACAAGTTTTAATATAAACAAAACTCAAAAATAGGACCTTGATGAAGTTAAACTGTTCGTTCCTTTTTGGTTGATTTTTTTTTTTTTTT